AACATTGAATCCACTCAGGCACAATTGAGGGAAGAAGTGATGTTAGAAGTGAAGTCCCAGATGGCCGAGTACACTCCTTTAACAAACCATTGAAAATTCTGATTTTTTGGTATATACTACAGGGGATGTTACCTTGGTAGTTGCTGACAATTGCCGACTCCATCTCAACGATGATGATGATTTTGATGACTTCATGGTGTTGCTTGTGTTGAGTTTATATACTGCACTGGAGTTTCACCCGTTTAACGAGAAGTGACGTAATATTCCATGTAAAATGTAGGACGTATGTGTTTGCGCGGCTGGTAACAAAATTGGTTTCTGGGTAAGTGAGATGTCAGCCATGTTTTTCACGGGAGTTTTTTTTCATATCACGGGTGAAACTCCCAGTATCGTTTACTCATTGACTCTGAGCTCGTATATTCGGTATGATTTTATATTTATATTTACTTCCCTTAGGAGAGTTCGTTCGTAGTGTCGAAGATTACGTATAAATTCGCGGTGATAACAGTTGCTGTTAGTTTTGTAAATGCTCAGCAGCCTTGTAAGGAAGCAGTCTTGGTCATCGCTCCTATGCTGTACGACTGCTAGAAGGACTTTCATTTCAGCATCGCAGACCCCCGGGTTTGGACGTGTAAGGGAGTTTCACCGTTTTACGTGATATTCGCGGTATGTAGTGATTTGGGAAATATGTTTTTCACTAGTGTTCTTCATATCACGGCTCGTGCAACTCCAATAAGAAGTGCTCGTTAAAGGTGGTGGATTTCAGTTACCTAATGGGTCACAGCTTCGCCCTTCGATGGGTTCACCGTTGATCTCGAATATTGGTTCATCGCTGTATACAGCGCCGACTACGATACCGTTTGGGACTAGAGGATATACCTTCAGGCTGAGGGGTCGACTCTTTTATAAGAGGGTCCCTAAGTTTGTCCCCAGTAGTACTTTTTGCTGGTCTCACGTGTGTGGTCGTGTATAATAGGGGCACGAACTGCATATATGTATATGGTCAACACCGTGTTGTGGTGATAATATGAAAATTCTGAGGGAAATTTTGGCAAATTCTCGATGCTTTTTGTAGACTTCTACCAGAACTTGGCGAAATTTCATCCTAATTTTCATACTGTCACTATTCCATGTAGTTGACTATATTCTCCAACATTGTACTGATCTCAGGAAGGAGTTGGAATGTCCGATCGAAATGGCTCGAGGGAAATCCTTTCAAAAAGGGCATTTGCGTGAAAGTCAGTCGAGCTTGACAAAATGCCAGTGAAAATGATGTTTTAGGTGACAGTTAAATCTCCGAGGAAACCACATTCTGGCCTGAGGAAAGTGGCAAGAGTTCGGCTCAGCAATAAAAGGGTGGTCTTAGCGTAAGCTCAGCTCGATCGTTGGTCCTCATGATGTATACACGCTCGATATGGAATTTAGCGGGGTTATTATAATGGAGCTTCACGGGCGGCCCTAGTGATATGAAAAACACTAGTGAAAAACATATTTCACGACTACTGCATATCACCTCAAATTTCGCGTTTTTGACCAAGTTTTACCTCACTTCACGTAAAACGGGTTATGGAACTTCATTATGGAGTAGTCCGTAGATATTTTACATACCGCTTCATGTCACGTAGCGTAAGCTTTGGTCAATTCTTAGCCCTCATGATATGAATCCTTTTAAAATGGTGTTTGCGGATTTATGGTATTAATTATCGTATTATATTCATTGGAGTCTCACTCGTGTCACGCGAAGTGGCGTAATACTATGTGAAAAACACGATATTCGAGTTATGTAGTAATCATGAAATATATTTGCCACTAGTGTTTTTCAACTCCATTGTATTACCCTTTATATTCATTATCATGTACT